TCCAGTAAGACTGGCCTACATTCAGAACTCAGCTAATACCACCTGCTGTTGTGGATGTAGGCAGTAAGGCACCCTCCTTCACTGTTGGTGGGAGTGTAGGCCTGTACAACCACTGTGGAAATCAGTATGGAGAGTGCTTGGAAAATTGCAAATAAACCTGCCATAAGACCCAGCTATCCGCTCCTAGGAATATGCCCAATAGAAATGAAATCTGCATATGAAAAGGGGATCTGTAATCCTGTATTTGCAGCAGCACAATCTACAATAGCAAAGACATGAAAACAATGCAGATGTGCGTCCAAGGAAGAGTGGTTAAAGAAAGTGTGGTACATCTGCCCCATGGAATATTATTCAGCTATGAAGAAGAAGGAAATTATACCATTTACAACCAGGTGGTCCCAACTAGAGACCATTATGCACAGTGAAATGAGTCAACCACAAAAGAACAAGTACCATATGTTCTCTCTTATATAAGAAAACCAACATGCAAAGTGTAATTTCAATAATCCAATCCATACTGTTTTTTGGTTTACTTGTTTGCTTTTTTGGCTATCTCCCATGTGTTTAGACGCTTTTTATTTCAGTTTTGTTTATTCCAAATAATTCCTTTTTTCTTGACAAATTCATCACTGGCTCATGGATTACACTGTGGCATCATTTTTCCCAAGAGACTTTTGTGTTTCCTTTTTGTCAGTGGTGCGTTTTTTCATGGTGCTGTAATTTGTTGTGGATGTTGTTGTTGTTGTGACTGTTCTAACTCACATCAGTTGTTGACCTGGTTTCATGGCTTCTCAGTTATGGAAATGTATAGTGATGGAGTACTGGGGTCTACCATATACATATGTGGGGGAGTAATGGAACATGCATCCCTGCTTCCAGACAAAAGATAGATTCCCAATGAAACTGTTAGACACGTGCAGACAATGAGATGCTGGACTGCCTGACATTGTCTGTGCCAACAATATCGGGGTACAATTACTATTAATTACGATTCCTTATAAAGGACTACACTATTGTAATAAAATGGGAAAATCTGATGGGGGATAGGGGCTCGTGGGGAATCCCAGCCTATATGAAACTGTACCACATAATTCAGAATTCAAAGTAAAAAATATATTTAAAAAAAAGAAGTAGAAGCACGATGGCATCAGCATGGTAACTGAGGTGTGGATCATCCATTCTCTGGGCCAAGTGGTGACTGAATGCTGTCCTAAGCCTGTGACTTCACTCCCCCAGGCTTAACTATGACAGCCACAACAAGGTCAGTAAATTCCTATTGCCCCCTTGGCCTTGCTTTTCAAACGTACATATCCAAGTTGAAAGACATTGAAATGCAACAGAGAGCCTCATACTGTTCTTGGGTCTCACATTTCAATGAGCACACAGCTAAAAGAACAGGAGCTGATCGAAGCATTCGGATTTGGAACAAGTGTTCTACATATCTCAGGGGGACCAGCACTGTGGCCCGGAGGGTAAAGCCACTGCTTGCAATGTCAGCATTCTCTTGTGGGTACTGGCTCCTGTCCCTACTGCTCCACTTCAGTTCCAAGTCCCTGCTAATGACCTGGGGAAAGCAGTAGAAAACAGCCCAAGTGTGCAGGTCCCTACCACCCATGTGAGAGACTTGGATGAAGCTCCTGGCTTGTGGCTCCTGACTTCAGCCTGGCCCAGCCCTGGCTGATACGGCCATCTGGGGAGTAAGCTAGCAGACTATAGCTCACTCTCTCTCCATCCCTCCCACATTCTCTGTAGCTCTTTCAAATAAACAAACAAATCTTCTCTTTCTGTAACTCGATTAATTTTTTTTTTTTGGAAAAATGCTAACAGGCTTTATGGTTTCGTCATTTTTAAAGAACTTTGACTCCAATTCAAAAGGAAAGCATTTCACAGATACAGAAAAGACTACCTCAACCATATACAATATAGGAAAGCAAAAAGCTAGATTATTCAATGTTACAATAACACACTTCGTTTTAGTCTGAAGCGTATGAAGCATATCACTGGTGAGGGTTCATAATTTTCCTGTGTCCTTGTCACTTGTTTCAGGGGAGAAGATGTCACCACTACCACCAGTGCTAACGCCAGGGTTATGAACATAATCACCACTCTGAGTGCAGCTTCATGATCAATGAAATCAATGCAAACACGTCTGCTTGCTGTAAACTAAATCAAAGAAAAAGCGGCCATCTCCCCCAAGAGCTCTTTTATAAAGATTTTGTTGAGCCCAACACCATGACCTAGTGACACACCTTGAATGTGCCAGAATCACATATGGGTGCTGGTTCTAACCCTGGCAGCTCCACTTCCCAGTCAGCTCCCTGCCTGTGCCCTGGGAAAGCAGTCAGGAATGGCCCAAAGCCTTGGGACTCTGCACCTGTGTGGGAGACCCGGAAAGAAGTTCCTGGCTCCTGGTTTCGGATCGGCGCAGCACCGGCTGTTGTGGCCACTTGGGGAAAGAATCATCGGGCGGAAGAACTTCCTCTCTATCTCTCCTCCTCTCTGTATATCTGACTTTGCAATAAAAATAAATAGATCTTTTTAAAAATTTTTTGTCAAAACATCCCACAAAGGTCTTCTAGATTATAAAAATAGCTAAAAGGATATTGAATATTGGTTAAACTTAAAACACACCAACATTGTATTCTAGATTTATTTTTATTATTATTTTTTATTGGAAAGGCGGATATACAGAGAGGAGAGACAGAGAGGAAGATCTTCCGTCCGATGATTCACTCCCCAAGTGAGCGCAACGGGCCGATACTATGCCGATCCGAAGCCAGGAGCCTCCTCCGGGTCTCCCACACGGGTGCAGGGTCCCAAAGCTTTGGGCCGTCCTCGACTGCTTTCCCAGGCCACAAGCAGGGAGCTGGAAGGGAAGTGGGGCTGCCGGGATTAGAACCGGCGCCCATATGGGATCCCGGGCGTGCAAGGTGAGGACCTTAACCACTTGCGCCACCACGCTGGGCCCAACATTGTATTCTAAACATTGTGTTCTAAACATTGACTCTTTTCAGTTTTTAAAGATTTACTTATTCTTATTGGAAAGGCAGATTTAGAGAGAAAGTTATCCCATCTGCTAGTTCACTCCCCAAGTGGCCACAGTGGCCAGAGCTAAGCCAATCCAAAGCCAGAAGACAGGAGCTCCTCCAGGTCTCCCACGAGGGTGCAGGGTCCCAAGGCTTTGGGCCATTCTCTACTGCTTTCCTAGGCCACAAGCAGGGAGCTAGATTGGAAGTGGAGCCATTGGGACACAAATTGGTGCCTATATAAGATCCTGGCATATATGGCAAGGACTTTAGCCACTAGGCAATCACACCAGACCCCCTATATTGATTCTTTCTTTGTTAAATTGTTACTTTGAATTTTTGAACTTTATGGTACAATTTCGTGGAGACCAAGATTTCCACCCCAAAGCTCCCACCCCTCAACAGATTTTCCCCACATTGCTACAACAGTATAGTCCTTCATAAGGAGTCATGATTCCATCAGTGTGTTATTTAAGTGTGTCCTGACGTTGCTGGTATAGTCAATGTCAGACAGTGCAGCATCCCATTGTTTACACATGCCCAAGTTTCACTGGGAGTCCATCTCTGATTGGGAAGCAGGTATGCATACTGCATTGTATCCCCACCTCTATACTGATTCTTAAAGGTGTATCAGGAATCCTTGTATACGGAACACACATATTTATTTAAGCTAATTGCATAGTATGTGGAATTTAATATTACTGTTTCAGGCAAATATAAAAGTTTATAGTCAATGGGCTTTTTCCATCAGCCGCCAGGGTGGGCACCTGGCCTAGTGTTAAGACGCCAGGTGGAACACCCATGTCTCATTCGGGGATATCTACGTTCAATGGCTGGTTCTGCAGCTCCTCATGCCAGCTTTGTGTTCATGTGCATCCTTTGACAGCGCTGAGAGCTCAATGAATGGCCATTCACATGGGAGCCGTGGGCTCAGACTACCCCATACCACCCCAGACTTCACCTCTATGGACATCAGGGGAGACAACCAATACATAATTTTCCTCTCTCTCTTCCCACCAGCCCCCCAACTACATAAACATAGAATATCACTGAATCTTAATTGATGTCGAGTCTTATAATATTCTTCTATTTGGAATGTATCTTCCCCTTCAGAATGCAATCTGTATGTATGGTGTTATTACATAAAATACACAAAGGAACGTCCCCCATAGCTCCAATGCACAAAAATGACAGCTGGTTGAGAAATCTCTCCTACAGAAATAGCACACCCTTGGTAAAATCAACAGTCTTTTCATGGAAAGAAAAAAATTAAAATATGTGCTAAAATTAGAAAATGCAAAAGACTGCCTAATTTTCAATTTCAGAAAAGTGTTGCTTGAAATAAGCTGAGAAAAGAATTCGTGTCTATTTATACATAGAATGAACTTAAAAAAAAAAAAAACAAAAACATTATCACCTTCAGTGAGCACAATTCTGTAATGACACCCAAAAATCTGGAAACAACATTCATGGGCACGGCAGGGTTCTTCTCCAAGAAGCCAACGGTTTCCAAGGCATCTTTTCCCTCTCTCCGATACACCGATGGGTGAGCAAATGCATATCTTTAGCAAAACGTAGGAATAGACTTCGAAAGAGCACTCTGCTGCCTCCCGTTACCTTGAAATCCCCTAGAATACTCAGCAACCACGCATGGTGTAATGGAACACTGTTTGACCAAATGCATAGCTACTCACTCATCCCCCAGACTGCTAAGGTGGAGCTTTTCTACTTCCAATTTAAAACACTGCTGTAAATAATATTCATGTCCCTGTACAAAATGGTCCTTCCTAATTCATCTTGGTAACCGAAGTGGTATCATGAGTAGAACTACTTAAAAAAAAAAAAAACTGTTTTCACTTTGACATTGTATGGTTATTCTTCCCTGTCTTGAATTTATCTATCGGTTGAACTTTCTCTCAAAAGGTAGCATGCATTTTTCAAAGGTTCAATAAAAACAAATAACCCAAAACATACTTCTGTCGCTGTGAAATTTCTTGCATGTTTTCACTGCAACAAAAATCTCCTCCTTCTTCACTGGCTTTCCCTTTATAAAAAGAAACAAACAAACATATATTAATCAGCATAATCTTCATACCACATGACATCTCACTGCTTGAGAGTTCCGATTAATCCATTTCAGGGACTTCAGCCTTATATCTAGTGTGGATAAAAGAAAAAGAACTGTAGTTTTGTGGCTATCACAGCTGCTTAAGGCAGCCAGGCCCAGATCTGCCTCCCAGCTCTGCCCTTTACAGACTTTTTGTCATCCTGACAGGTGTCTAAAACTCTCTGAACCTTTACTCCACTCATTCAGAAAACAGGAGTCACCCCCAGAATGGTGCTGTTGTGACTACAATTCAGTCAGCATACAGTAGGTGACCAGTGAACGTTACTGGCCTCTCTTCCCAGCTGCTGAAGACTGTGACACAGAACAGGAAGCTGGGCTGGGCAGAGATGTTTTAGTGCAGAATAAGAAATGACTCCCTTTTCTGGGCCTGGACGTTGAACATGAGAGTGTTTTTAGGACTCCCTTCTGGAACCCCTCCTATCTGGACTAAGTATAGTTCATCTTCTGCCAAAGATAGGACAACTTCAAACACCCTGGGCAGGGAGAACTCAGGAGCCCGTGGTGACCAGGCAGATGAACGGGGTGTCACCCACCCAACCCCTGGAGAAGGGGCTGTTCCAAGCTCTCTATCACCCATCACAGGCTTGTAATGATAGCCCAGCTCTGACATCACTGGGGCTGGCTGGCAGGGCCAGCAGGGAAAAGTCTAGAAACACCTCCCCAACAAACTGCACAATCCTGACAGATTCGTGCCCAAGGTTTGCACCATGCTGTATTGTGACAATTCCCCTACAATGGCACAGAGAATTTTGTGTGACTGATGAGAAAAAAGCCAGCTTACAGGATGGGGAATGCACTTTTCGCCTACAAGAGGGGTCTGCTGTGAATAATTTAGTGAGTTCTGGATCATCAAGCCCATTTTGAGGACTGAATCAAGGCCCTTCTGAAAGCTCTGTGTAGGCCACTATAAAATATTAGGCAAAATAATGCACATTTTTCTTTGATTTCCAAGGAAGGTTTTCTTCTTTTACTTACACAAAGTGGCAGAAAAGAATGGAATGTGGTAGCACAGTTGGAGTTCACACCTTCTGTACAAAACTCAGGCACTGGGGTAAGGGCTGGTCCACCTCCTTTGTCCCAAATGTAGAGAGCAATCTGCCATGAGAAAGAGACAGCAATGAAGAAAGAACTTGGCCAAGGAAAGCACGAGAGGAAGCGTCAAATATCTCCTAGATACTAGATTGAAACACGTTGGCTTGTCCATAAAAAAAAAAAATGGTTATTCTATTTAGGTCAAGTCTGTACTGATAGTAAACAGTCATTCCAAAGTCACTGATAAGCAATTTCAGGGGAGAATGCACTCTAAAATGTCAGAAGAAAAGACAAGGAAGGAAATATTATCACAACTGATGTCTCCACAATGTGGTAACTAAATACGCAGAATCGCTGACCCACCGCAAACACCTAAAGGTGCTGGATAAAGTATCTTTAAAATCATTAGACAGGTATCACTGTATCTTATATTTACACCGCACAACCTACAATAGCAAAGACACGGAAACAACCAAAATGCCCATTGAAAGAAGAGCAGATAAAGCAACTGTGGTATATCTACTCCATGAAATACTACTCAGCCATTAAGAAGAATGAAATTCTACCATTTGCAATGAAATGGTCCCAACTACAGACCATTATGCTCAGTGAAATAAGCCAATCTCAAAAGGACAAATGTCACATGTTCTCTCTGATATAAAGCAACCTTCATGTAAAGTGCAAGATATACACATACATGTCAACAGGTATGTACATACATTCATCTAGAAAAACTGAATAGACTAGCATGCCGAGAAATGAAGATACATTTCAGTATACATCTCTATTTCCAAATCAAAGATGAACTCCTAATGAAACTGTTAAATATATCTTGACACTAGTATGCTGGACTTTTTACCATTGTCTATGCCTACAATGTCAGGACACACTTAAACAGCAGAATGTTGGACTTGCAACTGTCTTTAAGGACTATACTACTGTAATAAGACAGTGGAAACTAGTAAGGGGAGGACTAATGGGGAAGAAGAAGGGAAAATCCCTGAGCCTATGAAACTATCATAAAAAAACTATTTTAAAAAAAAAAAAAGAAATCCACTAACAGAATGAATAAGTAAGGGAGGAAAGGCCAAAGAGAGGACTTCACAAAGCAAAGCAAGTTAAGCACACACAGCTACATGCATCGACACAGAGGGGTCTGAGATTGGACTATATGCATTGGATGATTCTGCTTACAGAAAGTCAAGACATAAAACTACATAGCATGCTAAGAAGGCACTCATTAGTTAGAAGGTCTGAAGAAAAGCAAAGAAAGAAAATTCAGGCATGTGTTCACTCCAGGGAGTTGGAAGGGGAACACAGCCCAGCAGCAATATACAGGTACTATCTGGTGATGGGGAACATTCGCTGACCTTTAAGCCAGGTGGGCTGTCTAGGTTCTGTTAAGTGAGCTTTATACCTTTCACATACACAGAGATATTCTTCTGTATGTATGACATGCCCAAGAGATCCTACACCAGAGCTTTTTTCTCTCTCTCTTTTTAAAAGTATTTACTTACTTACTTATTTGAAAGGTATATAGAGAAAGAGATCTTCCAACCTTGGCTCATTCATCGAATGGCTACCACGGTTAAAGCTAGGACAGGATGAAGCCTGATCCCAGAAGCTTTTTCCAGGTCTCCCACATGGGAGCAGGAGCCCAAGCGCTTGGGTCATCCTCTGCTGCTTTTCCCAGGCACATAAGTAGGGAGCTGGATCAGGAGTGGAGCAGCCGGGACTCGAACAGGTATGTAGGCTGCTGGTGTCACTGGCAGCAGCTGCTTTGCCAAAACTCTGGTTGCCAGAGCTAACTTTTCATTTAATCTATCTAGGTAAACCCTGGTTTCCAACTGGTCAAATTTTTTCTTTTTTTAGAAAATTAGAATGACTTTTTTTTTTTAAGACAAGTATATTTATCTCCAAGCAAGCTATTTCGTCAGGTAAAGACGTGGCAGAAGTTAAAACTCTTAGTGTGTGTTTGTGTGTACATGCTGTCCACGCCTGGAAGGCTTCCAGCACCACTAGACTGCATTCAGTGTTAAGGTTTCCTTTCGTGTCCTATGACCCAGATTCCTACAGAGAGGAGACACAAGACGATTTTAGGCATTCAGACTTGCCCCATGAATGAAATGCAAAAAGACTTCTCAAGAATGACTTGGCACTAGTTAACAATACAACAGCTGCCACCAGCCAGGGTAACTGGCGACAGATGTCCACAAATGCCAACAGACCAGGGTGCTGAGGGCCGAGCTGTCCCGGAATGGCAGCCTGCTCACAACCAACTGGCTCATTTAGCTTTGCAGGGCCAAGCAGAGACACAAGATAAAGGCAATGTGTCTCAGGTCATCGGGACTGCCACAACAAAATAAGCAACAGGACTTTCTCTCCCACAGTTGCAGAGACTGCAAGCCCATGTTCCAGTGCCAGCTGACTCCGGGCTCGCTGAGCAGCTGCTTCCTGGTTCATGAGCAGTACCTTCCTGCTCTGGGGCTCTTTGATAAGGACACTAATCCCCTTTAGGAGGACTCCACCCTCATGACCTGATCACCTCCCAGAGGCCCCAACTACAAAGACTGCCGCATGGGGGATGCACTTCAACACAGAGAGCTGGGGAAGACACAAACATTCAGACTCATCCCACAGCACCTGTGCAACAAAAACACCAGGCGAGACCAGAAGTGCTGCCCCTGACACTTGTCATGTTTATTTTTGCAAATCCACCTCTGGACCCATCCATCTAGCTTAAAAACAAGGAATTAGGAATCATATGATGCAATTTTTTCCAATGCTCCTTCTCCACCAACATAACATAAACTGAGCCTAACATAGAAGGACCTACTTCCCTGAAGGGCTGAGAAATCTCCCCAGGGCACAGAGGATGGATGGGGCTGGGAACAAATGCACTGTAAGGGAACACAGGACGCTGTTTACAACAAAAGACATGATTTCTAGAGGAGTACGACTTTTAATCAAACCATGACATACCTCATGTTTTAAATCAATAGTGAAGTCAGACTTTAGAGCTTCACTCTTTAACCTCTTGGCAAGCCTAGGAAAAGAGAGAAATTCATTTTTTTAAATCAAAAATAGTGTCAAATAGAAGCAACACATTTTGAGATTTTCTAACACTGAAAACAGACAAAAATGTAACTATCAAAGTGAAAATAAAAGAGTCTCACATCCTTGAAGGCATGAATTATAAAAATGCAATGGTTACTGGACCAGCCAGTGAATGCAAACCCTGCTGCTGCCAGCACAGCGTGCATGATGTCAACATCTGCCAGATAATGTGAAACGCAGTATAAAACCATACAACACCGCAAGACGCCTTAAGAAAAAAAGGCCAGGATATCTGTTTATTCCTGACAATCCTGGCACTAAACGCAGAGAAAAAGAAAAGAAAAGGGAAAAAAGGCATGCATGGCAAACACACAACATTGCTATGTCTCATCTCCTGCTTTGAATAACCCCTAACAGACAGTGACATACTGAGAAGGAAAACCATGTAATCCGGGAGAAGAGTAACAGCTCTATTTCCAGTTAGATTTACCTACTTCAAAAATGGGCATCCTTCCCTTGTAGCTAAAGGCGCCCATCCTGAACATGCCTAGAGCGCCTTGCCATTTCTCCCAATACCCACTGCCATGTTAGCACCCACTTGCACACCCTCAGATCCTCCTCCGATCTATGTGTTTACCTAGCATGTCTGTACTCAACCTTGGCTTAACAAACTTCTTCATGGCCAAAGTCAAGGGGCCATCCTCTGTGAAACTACTCCAGACTTGCTCACTGAAAGACATGCAGACTCCTCTGCTTCCATATCTGTCATGTGCACATCCCTCTATGGTTGCACTTCCTTTCCATCACCATCACCATCCCTGGCCAAAATGAGCACTCAGTGAGTTCCCCAAAGGGATGAGGGCAATTCCAAGATGACTGCAGTGGAATTCCATACTAATTCGTGTCAGTGAAATAGACATGGTCTGTATTTACTGAGCCAGAGACTGAAACAGTCATTGCAATTCCAAGCCTTCTAACACACATTTTAAGTAAGAAATATTACCGATTATAAAAATTTTAAAAACCTCTGAGTTTGTAATTATATTTTAGTCTTATTGAGCTGTAAAAACAATTCTTTAAAAATCCACTTCTTAGTGTATGGAAGTGGTGTGGTTAACAAGGCTTTGAAGTCAAAAGGTAAATAGAGAGATTAACAGATTAAAAAATACAATTAGGACGATTTAGTCCTGGAGTTTTACAGCGCAATCTTACATGTACAATAATTTACCGTATATTTCAAAATAGTTGAAAGAGATTTTCAATGTTCTCAACACAAAGAAACAATAAATGAGGTAATGGATATGCACACAACCCTGATATGATCACTGTACATTGGATACATGTATCAAAATAGCACATTGTCCCCACAAATGTATACAATTACTATATGTCAAACTTTCTTCTGATTCAAGAGAAAAAACACAGATGTAATTACAATTTATGTTTACTCATAAAGCAGTTCTCTCATGGTTGACACTAATGGCGGCACCAATAGAAGTTCCATGTAGTACTGGTCCCTGATTACTAAACAGTTGGCAGGAACCCAACTAACTACTTGAGCCATCATCACTGCCTCCCAGTGTCAGCATTCACAGGAAGCTGGAGTCGGAGCCAGAGCTGGGATTTGAACCCAGGCACTTTAGAGGTCTGAGGTCTCTCGACTGCTAGTCTGAATGTATGTACACTTTCCTAATCCTTACAGGAGAGTAAGTCATGCCTGTAACAGTCCAGCTCTGACACAAATAACTAGATGAAAGAGGCCAAAGACTTGGGGCCCCTTTGATTCAATACTGGGAGCACTTTCTGTCTTTTCTAGCCATACTTGTGAACCAGTCAACAGAACAAGATATTGAAAGAAATCTAGATAAAGCTTGCCAATGGAAGAAGAAAGAAAAAACCCACTACGACTTCCCTGGAATAATACACTTAAATTAGAAATTACTTCTTTGGTAATTAATGAAAGCTCCTCTAAAAACCAAGAACTGTTGTGGGAGTATTCATTCAAAACTCAGTGATCTGGGATTGCTAGGCCAAATAACTTTTTTGGTGGGAAACAGCCTATGTAAATGTCTATCACAAATGTCTTAAAAATAACCAGTTGCCCTGGCAACTTGGGCAGAAGAAATAATATTGAAGGAGCTGCAAGTTGCTGGCCCACCTATTAAGAAGGCCAGACGTCCAGGAAAGGAGTCAAAGGGAATCAACATTCCCACAATGCAATATTGGAATGGAATGGCAGCCTATATGTAACAGCCCCCCTTTCCCTCTTTCTAAATGAACGTTAACTTTACCAATTATTGAGCCCAATACCAGAAGCCAGTTGGGATTTCCAGGCCCCACAGTGGAGTGCCTGGATTGGACTTCCAGCTCTGGCTCCTATCTCCAGCTAATAAAAATTGTTGGAAACAGCAGTGAAGGCCCAAGTACTCGGGTTCCTGTCATCCACGGAGGAGAACCAGATAAAGTTCTGGATTCCTGGTTTAAGTCATGCCCAGATGTCGCCATCATGAGAGCTTTCTCCATTCCAGGCAGAGCTCTAGGCAGAGCTTTCTCTGTCTCTAAAATAAAGATAAGGAAGTCAATGAACAAACATTTAAAAAGAAAATAAATTGGGTCCAGCATCAGAACCTGATTATTAATATGGGGCAACTAAGCCACTAAAATTCTCAGCCAACTGTTAATGCTCCAGAATCAATGAAGGCCTGAAAGGGGCCCAATCAGATGGAGGACAAGCACTTACATTCCAGTGTTGGGGGACAGATGCTCCACTATCAAGAAATCAGTATCCCTTAGTGCCTTGGGACCACAAAAGTAACCAGATGTAGTATAAAAAGATACTATACACGGCAGGCAGGAGAGACAGAGAGAACCTGGGTCCTCAAGAATATTGCTGAACCCTGCCATCAGCCAATCGCTTCCCTTTACAGCAACTGTAGTCCTCTAACCCATTCGGAGTTGTCTACTGTTACTTGCAAAAGCTGCTGACAGATTTCCCAACATTAGAGGTGACAAGTCAGCACATAATCTTCAGAACTGGAGGAAACTAATGAAGAAAGAGGCAATTTTGCAGTTGATGCAGCTAGTGGATATCTAATGCCTTCTTTTGTTCTAAGCATCAAACCAACTTCTCAACCCATACATGAAAGTCTCCTATTGGAAAACCATTTTAAAATACATCTTGAAGACAACACAGCTGCTATGCCAGATGGGTTATTCCATTTTATTTGTTTGATTACTTATCTGCCTTGGGAGAAAAAGAAAATATGTTCTAAGATAACTAGAATTTCAGATTTGGTACTATATTAGAGTCTACATTTTCATCTTGTTTTGTTTTGGCTCGCAGCACTGAGGGAGGTGAGAAGAGGATACTAACGAACTCCAACACACTGCAGTTGCTGGTCACTGTGAGCACTGCAAAGAGCAGCAGACACGGACTGCACAATGTCATCTGCACAATGTCATGCACAAGTGAGGCAGGCATTGCTGGGAGTCTTCCAACCGATGTGCTGAAGATGAGTTTCTCAGTCCTAATGCTCCTAGCAACTGCTCCCTACCGCTGCAGTATGAATATATGTGCTCCCCCAAAATTCCTAAGTTAAAATCTAATCTCCCCGTGATAGCATTAGAAATGGGGCATTTGGGAAATGATGAGGTAATGAGGCACACAGCCTTTTTATAAATGGGATTAATGCTCTTACAAAGAGGCCCAGGGAGCTTGTGTATCGCTTCCATCATGTGGGGACAAGTGAGAAGGTGCTGTCCATGAGTCAAGAAATGTGCCTTTACCAGATACTATTGTGCCAACACCATGATCTTATATTTCCCAGCTCATAGAACGGTGAGACATATTCTTCTGCTATTAATATGCCAGTATTTTACTATGGCAGTCCAAAAGAACTGAGATGCCTATATACTATAATGAAGAATCCTAAATCAGTTTATATTATATAGATGTATAATATATGTATAATATACATAATACATACATAATATATACACATATATTATACATCTATATTTATAGTATTTTTAAATATATTGTGTATTTATATATTATATATACATTATATATTATACATATATATTATAAACATATAGGTATTTATAAATAATAGCGAGAGAGAGAGAAGGTAAGACTGATAAGAACAGAGATCTGAAATCCCTGGGGGAAGCCAGACACTTGGCTTCATTCCCTTGTCAATGGAGTGCTCAGTGATTTTGCAAACATAATCAGGGAGCCAGGAGGACAAAGGTTCTTGCAGACTACCTCTACTGAATGTCACATAAGCCATAACATCAAGCAGAAGGCCAACACCTCGGCTGAAGTGCTGGGCTAGTGGGTCACCTCTAGCAGGGTCCACAAAGCCTCCAGCAGCAAGTCACGCAGCACGAGGATCACAAGCCAGAGCCAATGGAAGCTGCCAGTAGGAAGACAGGATGCTCGAGTTCACAAGCCCACAAGGCTTTGCAGAACAAACTATACTTTAACGTCAGCACGTCAAATAACAAGACTGGAGCTGAACTGTTCTACAAGAAAATAGCAGGAATCAAAGATGTGTTCAGAAAAGAGCACATCCATCTATGTGGTTAAAAAAAGACAAGTCCAGCGCTGGCTCCACAGCATAGTATGCTGAGCTTCGGTCTGGGGCATCAGTATCCCATACAGGAGGCAGTTTGAGTCCTGGCTGCTCCACTTTCCATTCAGTTCCCTACTTATGGCCTAGAAAAGCAGTGGAGGATGACCCAAGTCCTTAGGGCACTGCGAGACCCAGAGGAAGCTCCTAGTTCCTGGTTCTGGATCAGCTCAGCTCTAGCCATTGGGGCTGTTCGGGCAGTGAAACAGTAAATGGAAAATTCTCATTCTCTCTCTTTCTTTCCTACTTTCTGCAACTCTACTTTTCCAATAAAATATAAATAAATTGTGAATAAATATTTTAAAATACAAATAATAATATGCCTTTGACACTTAACATGAACTGGATTCAATTTCCAGAGGTCTCCAGAAACATCTTCAAAGAGGAAGATGATGAAGCTATGATGGGACTAAGGGGGAAAACTCTGGACTACTGGGGTTGGCCTTCAGGATGAGATCTCTAACTCAGAGCAGGGATGAAGACTAGAGGACCACTGGCTTTACAGTAATGGTTACATCCCCCGGCTTGCCTCTGGGGTCTCCTCTTCAGTTCTGGAGGAAGCGACACTTCCTGCCCTCCTGCCCTCATACACCTTCACAGGTGACACCAGTGCATGTCCCTTTCCTAAAGGACTCAACTGGACTACAGGGCATGGGAGAGAGGCAGGCTTACGAAGAATTTAGAAGACCCAGGTTGGAGAAATCACAGCATCAAGGCTTGTTGCAGGAAGCAGGTAGATCACATCACTCCACACTATGAACCAAAGAAAGAGTGGGAAGTTCTAGAGCGGCCTCCTGTGGCCAAGGGGTGGAAAGAATCCTAAAGTGACAAGGACCAGAGCCTCAACCTAGGACACACAGCTCGTAGTTTCTCTGTTCCAAGAGTCCGAGTGAAGCACAGCTATCCAGCCTGGCCTCAAATACAAGCATGCTGGACACAGAGGAAACAACATCCTGACATCTAGTTTTCAGGCTGCAGCAAACGAAGGCTTACTTACACATTAATGTTTAAAGATTTACCTTATGTATTTGAAAGGCAGAGTAACACAGAAATTGGGGAAGACAGAGAGCATCCATGTACAGGTTCACTCTCCCAAATGGCTCCAACAGCTGCAGCTGGGCCAGGCTAATGCCAAGAGCCTGGAATTCCATCCAGGTCCCCTACATGAGTGGCAGGGACCCAAGCACTTGTGGCCATCTTCCACTGCTTTCCCAGGCACAGTAGCAGGGAGCTGGATCAGGAGCAAAAGAGCCAGGACTTGAAGTAGCACTTGTAACACAATGCTGGCATCACCGGTGATAGCTAAACCTGCATAGCATATGCCAGCCCCTCAAAGTTGATTTACTTTGGAAATAAAAATAACCTTGGACTCCTAGGGACAGAATCCACTCCCCTTTCCCATGCAAAGAGCGAAGTCAGGCAAGGCAGCAGAGCAGGTGAGAAGGGAAGAATAAACCACCTTTCGTATCTCCTCTCCTTGTCCTCTCTAATCCTTCAAAGAATGGAGGGGAAACTGTGCAGATCCTCTTCCACTCTTGGTACGACCTGTAATCCTAGCAAACAACTGGGAACATGGGTCAAGGGTCTTTGGTGGAGACAAAGGAATGTTTGGCTAGTTTAATCATAAAGTGCATTTATTCAGACATTCATACAGCTCACAGGATTTCTAGAAAGTCTGAGAAGTTGGGAGGTAGGGGTTATGGAGGGTATTACACTGTAGTGAATTTCAAATGGGAAGGGAGTAGGCAAGAAACGTTGGCAACTGTAAGTGCTGAATACTTATTGCCCTGAATAGCCATTTTTCAAGCCCCTCATGTCTAGGAACAAGACACATAATGTGAGAAATGACAGAAACCCTCTTTGAAGATACAAACACCACAAGCTCTATAACAACTTCCCATGCCCTAAACAAACAAACAAACAAACAAACAAAAAAACCAGAATAATTCATGTGAAGTGTTCAGACCAACAAATGGCCTATCAACAACTCCATTTCTCCCAAATTGCAACTTCATCATCCCCGCTCCACGTCTGAACAAAGCATCACGGAGGCTTCACACCCCGTACACCAAGGCACGCACACCTCCAGAACCTTCGCCGTCCGTGTGTCCTGCCTGGTGTACATCAGTCCACACGCCAGCCTGCCACACACACACACTGCTCCACTGGTGATCACGGTTAACATCTGAAGCTGGTGAGGTCCCTCACAGTGGCAGCCATGCTTGCCAACACAATTATCAGGGCACTCACGTGTTCTTGGTCTCAAATTTGACGATTTGTTTTACTTTTGCAGGTGACTGCGGGGGAGTATGGAAAGGCTGAGTGATTGGCCAGAGGGAACCAGTAAGTGACTGAGCCAAGCAACACGCTCAGTTTTTGGCTCCTTGTCCCTGCTCCGCTCTGCCTCTGGCTGACAAGCTGACCTGACATCCTGAGAACCATCAGTTTACACTGCTGAGCAAAGTAAGTGGATACACACACACACACGTCTCATAAAATCTTACTTGTTTACAAGTGGAACACTGAGGGCCCAACCAGCAGCAAAGTCTGGATATTTAAAAACTGTAGGATCTTCAGAAAAGGCGTAGTGGTGAATTATTGTAGATTCTTCATCATACAATGCTTTTCCTAAAAACCATTCCTGTTAAATAAAGATGTAAAGCGTTATTTAACACAAACAAACAAACAAACAAAAAAAAAGCCAGGTCAAGGCTTTTTAGACCAAAATGAAAATCAACACTAACAGCTTTAATGAAATCTTTTGAATAGTACAGATCATGTATTTGCATAGCATTTGAACCAAAATACAATTAATATTCATGTCCAACAGAACATAGGATAATCTTTATAAGAAAGCAACTTCAGAGCAGATCACCAGGATAACCAGAATGTTAGCATTGCACCATAAATATATAAAAGTGGCACTTTATGCACTGTCTCATACACAAACACTATTAAGGCAAAAAATAAAACCTGACCCTTTCTGCCCCCCTCATGTTTTCAAAGAAGGACTTAATAAATTCCTTCTAGAATCAAGTGCCTAGTTTACACTTTTATTTATTCATTCTTTCACGCTCTTGGTATTTATTTATGGGGACTCAACCACACACCAGGAAGAAACTGAGTTTACACTGCAGTGGGGAGACTGCAACTAAGAAAGTCACCACAGCAACTTCAGATCGTGACTGACACATGCCCTGACGGAAGCGGAACAGAGTAACTGGGGCTACCCTGAAAAGGGAAGGCCACCTACCCTGATCTAGCAAAGGAATAGCAGCAAGTACAGGAGTTGGCCGTGCAGAAGGCTGAGCCAGAACAGCCACAGGGACAGTGCAAAGCCCTTGAGCTGGGACAAAACTTCATCTGTCTGACATAAAGAAACGCAGGGTGGTCTGTGAGGAACACAGCATGAGAGGAGACAAATGGGAGACAGACCAGATGTATTTTCATGTCAGAGGAAAGACTCCCAGACTTGAGTCTCACAGCAATCAAAGCTCTCCATTTCTGGTTACAAGAGAACAGCCAGGATCAGACCTACCTTCCCACCAAGGGCAGACTACAGAACACAGATGACATGAAGGACTCAGCCTAGGATAGAGGAATCAGGCATTGCTCCCTGGAAGCCAGGACTAGCTTCATTTTTCCCTCAGGGAATCTGCTGGTCCTGAGCTTTGATGAGTCAACATGAACGAGCAGCAGCCCAGGGTTATGCAGCCAGACTTAGAGCACGCAGGCTGGAGCTGTACACTGCCAAGGTCACAGAAAACCAGGGTGATCCCAAGAAAATGCGTCCAAAATTCTGCATGCAATCTTTCCTCAACTGTCTCAGTGGCACAAAAATCAAAATAAAACACAAGAACCACGGGTCTCCTCCTGTGGTGCCAGAATCCCATAGGGGCCCCGGTTTGAGTCCTGATTGCTCTACTTCTGTTCCTCCTTCCTACCAATAAACCTGAGAGAAAGCAGGGAGGATGGTCCAAAAGCTTGGGCTCTGGACCCATGCGGGAGCCCTGGCAAAAGCTCCACTGTGGCCATCTGGGAGGAGTGTGAATCAGTGGGTGGAAGCACTCTCTCTCTCTCTCTTTTTAACTTATTTTTATTGCAAAGTCAGATACACAAAGAGAGAATGAGATACAGAGAGGAAGATCTTCCACCCAATGATTCACTTCCCAAGTGACTGCAATGGCCGGAGCTGCGCCAATCAGAAGCCAGGAGCCAGGAGCTTTTCTGGGTAGCCCACGCAGGTGCAGGGTCCCAAGATTTTGGGCAATCCTCGACTGCTTTCCCAGACCACAAGTATGGCGCTGTACGGGAAGCGGGACTGCCAGGATTAGAACCAGCACCCCTATGGAATCCTGTTGCATTTAAGGTGAGGACTTTAGCCATTAGGCCAATGCGCCATCCATCTCTTTCTTACTCTACCCCCGCCCCATGACTCTTTCAAATAAACAAAAAAGAAATCTTTAAACACACACACATACAAAAAACAAGAGGAAAGTAGCAGAGTAGAGACTAAAAGGCTGGGCCAACTCTTCAGCAGTTTACAGTGCTAGACAGACCGAGACTACAGTTCAGGACCTTTCAGCAACCCAAGGACTCCAGGTAAAAATCCCCACCCGGGGTCCGGCATGATACCTTAGTGACTAACGTACTTGCCTTGCACATGCCAGGATCCCATAAGGGTGCCAGTTCGTATCCTGGCTACTCTACTTCCCTTCCAGCTCCCTGAAAGTGGCCTGGGAAAGCAGACGAGGATGCCCCAAAGTCTCGGGATTCTGCACCCGCATGGGAGATATGGAAGAAGCTCCTGGTTCCTGGCTTCAAATTGCCTCAGCACTGGCTGTTATGGCCACAGGGGGTGTGAGCCAGTAGATGGAAGATCTTTGTCTGTCCTTCTCTCTATATATCTGACTTTCCAATAAAAAAAATAAATAAATATTTTTTTAAAAATATCCCCACCCAACAGGGTTTACAACCAAGAAGAACAGTAAATCCTCTGACAACACCTGCTATCATCCACAGCCTCCTTAATTTTTCACATAAAATACCTGACATTGACTCAAAAACTACTGTGCCAGGTAAGAAACAAGACTAAGTCAAAGGTAAAGAGGAAAAGTAGGAAGAAATGCATAAATAAGAAAATTTTGTGCTACCAAGTGAGTTTTCTCCAAACTGCGATAATATGTTTATAGATTAAAATCTGAAAAATTATATCAAAGAACTAAAATTTATCATCAAGAGTTTACATGGAAATTCTTAATTGAATAACACAAGGAGAAAAACAGGAACTCAAAAGGATATTAAACACAGAAACGGAGCAGTTTAGTGACCTGATAATTCAGTAAAAATATATCCAGGCCAGGTTCAGCACAATGGCTCAATTAACTAATCCTTCCCCCTTCAAGTGCCAGGATACCAGATGGGTACCAGTTTGTGCTTCAGCTGCTCCACTTCTGACCCAACTCCCTGTTGGCAGCCTGGGAAAGCAGAGGAGGATGCCCCAAAGCCTTGGGACACTGCACCTAAGTGGGAGACCTGGAGGAGGCTACTGAATTCTGGCCTAGCCTGGCTCAACTCCAGCCACTGTGGCCACTTGGGGAGTGAACCAGAGGATGGAAGATCTTTCTCTCTATCTCTGCTTCTCTCTGTAAATCTTTCTTTCAAATAAAAATAATCTTTAAATATATTATATCCACATTGATGAACAGAAAAGAAAACACAATGGAGAATGACACAGAAAATGCCTTGGTGAAAAGGTCTAAAACGCATGAAGTTACTAAGCAAAAACAGGAGAGAGGGAATGGAATTGAAGCAACACTTGAAGAAACACAGACTTGGGAGTTTTCTAAAACTAATAAAAGCCATCAAATCACAGATTCAAGGAATTCCACAAATTCAAATCAGAAAAACAAAAATTAAAAGCTACATCCAAGCACACAATGGTAAAACAAAATCAAGAACAGAAACTTCTCTTTAAAAAAATAAACCTTGTATTTATTTATTTATTATTTGAAAAGCAAAGGGACAGAGAAAGGAAGAGACAGAGAGACACAGAGATCTTCCATTGCTGACCCAATGCCCAAAAGGCACCAATGGTCAAGGCTGACAGACCGTGTCCACAGCATTCCCAGGAGCATCGGCAGAGAACAACATGGAAGCAGAGCAGCTGGGACTCAGAACTGGACTTCCTATATGGGTTGCCAGGGTTCCAATAAGTAGGTTAAGTCACTGGACCACAACAACAGCCCCAAGAAAAATTAAAAGCAGCCAGGGAAATTTTGGACTGGGCAGAGAGGTTACACACATTTTCAAAGCAAAAAAGCAAAAAAGCAAGAAAGCAAAAGAAAGGAAAGGAAAGGAAAGGAAAGGAAAGGAAAGGGAAAGGGAAAGGGAAAGGAAAGGAAAGGGAAAGGGAAAGGAAAGGAAAGGAAAAGGGAAAGGGAAAGGGAAAGGGAAAGGGAAAGGGAAAGGGAAAGGGAAAGGAAAGGGAAAGGAAAGGAAAGGAAAGGAAAGGAAAGGAAAGGAAAGGAAAGGAAAGGAAAGAAAAGATGACTTTCCAACAAAAGTATTGGAAGGGGAAAGAAAATGGTACAACACCTTTCTAGTGATGGAAGAAAATTACTGTCAATCTTGAATGCCACACCTAGCAAAAACATTTTAGGTGGAATGGGAAACCCACCAGAAGTTTTTGAGCAGGCAAGAGCTATGATCAGAACTATACAGCAATTAGATTAATAGCATGGCAAGAATACAAACCAGGAGACGAGTCAATGTGACAGGTGAATGTAGCCTATATTTAACTTTCGGGTAGTTTTATACATGCAATGGGAGTATTAAATGTGCAGAGACCTGTGAGGAGAAACGCCCTGGAGGCAGATGTGCTGAATTTGCCAACACAGAGCTAACAGAGAAAAACAGGAGCCAATCACAAGTCCCACTGTACAGACAGCTGCTGAGAGAACTGCAGATGGGAGACATCAGGTTTGAACACGTGGAGTCTGAGAGTCCCATCAGGTAAGCAGAGGTCCAAAGCAGGCAGCGCACGAGAGGCAGGGAAGACCTGGCTCACTCCCTCCCTGCGTGCCATCCCATCATCCTGCTCAAACATGTCCTCATCAGCGAAGTGTTCTTCAAACACTCCAGACTGCAAGCTCAACCATCCCTTGCCCTCTGGTCTGCTTGATTTTTCTCATTACACTTAGCTACCATCTGAAACACGGTATCTTTATTTGTATTGATACATGCTGCTTAGTTCCCCTGAAAACAAGAATGGCACCTGCTTGTGGGCAGAAGTGCTGTTTTGTGGAGTGCCATATGCCCCAGGACATCTGACAGGTAGTGGTGCTCAATTCCTCTCTGTTAACTGAATGCATCAAGCCCAGGAAACATTTAAAAGGCTCTCTGACACTGGAAACAACTCTCCAACACAGTTCAAAGCAAGAACCCTAAATTCCAAAAGTTTTTTTTCTTACATTTCCATTTTTACTGATAAGATGTAATTTTTTCATAACATTTATGAACAGAAACAACAGATACAAGCTATGATTAGTCTTGTATAAATTGGAACTTTTGTGATAATATACTGAATATATTTTCATCTCCTATCCAACCAATGACACCTCACTCTGTCTGGTTTTTGGCCGGAATATCACGTAGGAGCAGTACAGTACTAAAATGCTCTTAAGTGTTTCTTGAGAATCTCATTCTACTGACATCGGTACAACCCAAACAGCCCCCAGAACTCTACCTTTGGTCAGTTCAGGAACAGAGCATAACTGAACATGTGTTCTTCAGTGTAACTGTGTACTTGGACTCACAGGTCCACCCGATGACTTCTACATCTTTTCTTCACCTACAGATACCCTAAGTCATCACTGGGCATAAAGTACGTCCAGTGGTGGCCAAGGCAAATGTCCCCAGCTAGGCAAAAGTTCCCAGTTCAACATCACTTAGAGAAGTCAACCTTACTAGCTTTTCATCACACTACCAGACCTTAATCAGTACAACTATCACATGTATTATGCCAAGCCAATACGGTTTGTATAAAGAAACACTTCAGTATATTTTGGTATATTTCTTATAAACCTCTCACTACTAAAATCTACTGATTCAAACATAATTTTACATAAAACATGTAGTCATACTTTACGTTCTAATTGCAGTGTTCAGTTCTGATATAGAATACTTCAAAAACTTTGTAGAAATGTGTTTTTAAAGGATAAAAGCATAGATTTCAAAACTCTTTGTACCCAAATAAGCTTAATCTTTTAATTCCATTTTCCAAACTTTTTGAGGCACCCATGCATTTTGGTGCATAAAGTGTTTTAAATGCACACATTTTTTTTCATAATACACATCTCCCATGAACTTTCTGAAGACCACTCATAGTAGATAAGATTGTTTTTTGATATTTTGTGATTATACTATAGCCTACCTAAATGGAGGAATTAATGTAGAATCTATAAAAAAGAGGCCCCTTTACCTATCTTTCTTTCATAAAGGCTTCATGAAAAGGACATTGATAGCCAAAATAAACCTTTAAAGAATAAGTCATACAATGTCCTACCAGTACCTCAGATTACTTTTTTAAAAAAGATTTATTTATTTTTATTGGAAAAGTGGATATACAGAGAGAAGGAGAGACAGAGAAGAAGATCTTCCTTCCGATAGTTCACTCCCCAGGTGGCTGCAATGGCTGGAGCTGAGCCAATCCGAAGCCAGGAGCCAGGAGCTCTTCTGGGTCTCCCACATGGGTGCAGGGTTCCAAAGATTTGGGTAGTCCTTGACTGCTTTCCCAGGCCACAAAGAGGGAGCTGGATGGGAAGCAGGGCTGGCAGGACTAGAACCGACACCCATATGGGATCCGGACGTGCAAGGTGAGGACTTTAACCACTATGCTATCACGCTGGGCCCCTCAGATTACTTTTCAATAGTACTTGTATTTCACCTCCATAAAATGTAAGTCACAAAGCTAGTATTCTTTATGAAAGATACACTTTATATACTTAAAATTTACATATATAGAGAGGAAGTATACTGTCAGTGGATGGTAAAAGAAGACTTCCCACAAGAAAGGGAAATTATAGAAATCACCTAGGATGGCAATTTAACAAAAATCAATTACTTTAACAAAAGATTTCACGTTTGAAATATTGCAAAACAGTACACAGTTGTAAAAGTAATCATGAATATAAGAAAAAGCTGCCAGAATCAAATATCTGATACCCTCACACATTATGTAATTATTATTTTAAGATAGTATTGTGTCAATATCTAAGCCACATTTGCTCAATACTTTTTTTCCTAAGATTTCAAATAGGAGGAGAAAAAAAAAAATCATACTGGCTTGAGCTAACTTCAACATTATATAATCTGTACAGCTAGTTTCAAAAGAAATAAAACATCCCAGAGTTTTTTCCCACATGCAGAGTTCAGCAAAGAGCAGCTATCTCATTGTAGCTGTTCTGTATTTACTTTTCATGAACTTGCTTTGAACTTCCACATTTATCGTTCCAATTTTCATTAAAAAGCTCGATGAGTCACCATCTTCTGCACAGAATTAGAACTGTGGATAACGGAAAAATAATCTCCAGGTAAAATGAATATGAAGAGTCTTAAACTCCTACACCCTGGAAAAGACTTGGGAGTCTTTCTCAAGTCAAATGGAAACATAAAAACCTAACGAACGGTTTACATAAAATACAGCAAAATGTACACACACGCTGGGGCGCATCATCTTGTAAAGACTGCCCCAGACAGGCTCATAACTCTCCTCGGAAGAAATCACTTGTTTTAACATAATAACCTTTTCATCCAATTATATCTGTACTGTTCCAGAAATCAAGGGCATGAAAACAATAAAATAAAATAACTGATCCTTCCAGCATTCGAGCAGCAACAAAAGCAGTGGGTTTAGCTACAGTAACAGACTACCCAGTATGTGAGAAACCGACCTAATGGTCACTGTCACCTGACATGGGACATCTACACTGACAAATCAAGCAGGCTCCTGGACAATTTCCTTCCCGGCCCATATCCTAATTAAACCAGAAGGGCCGAGTGGCTTTCTAGGAGGACCAGACTGAACTTGACTCTGCTTATCGCAAGTTCAGAGAATCCCATCAAGTCATCAGGTTGCAACTGGGCTTCTCTAGACAAACTGAATGAGCCTGGGTTGTCCTTGACACATCTCCAGGGCAATTCTCCCTGACGTCATAGAGTTCATGAGACTTTCAAAAATACTCACAGAAAACCTAGTAAGTGTAAAAATTCTGCTTGGGGCTAGAGATTTAGAGGTAACCAGGATCCAGCTGTCATTAACAAATCTGCACAAAATATAGATCTGAAGACATGAAAGCAGTGGTGAACTTCACTGAACCCTCTATTGCAAACCGCACCTGCCTTTCTTTCCAAGTAGCACTCCCTCTGCTGGTACACCTCTGCTAGTACATCCCCTCATCTCCTGCGAAGCCCCTACTCATCCTGCAGGACCCACATTAAATGTCACTTCTGGACAAAGCCCTCCCGCACCAGCTTCAATGCCCATGCTGCATGTTTCTAGCTTCCCTGATTCTAGAACTCTTGCTCCCACCTATAATCATGTTACTACACTTCCTTCCTGCTTGTCATTCTGCACCATCCAGGCAGCCAGGAGCCTTCCTTACTTTATTCTAGCCTGTATTATTCGCAGTACCCAGTACACAACTGTTGCCACCCCCCCAAAAAAATCCATTTAGAAGAGTGTATGGTCAATGCCCGAAATGAGCAATTTAAGTTTATTTCTTGGGCAAACTGTTTCTGAGCTCTCAGAAATCACCAATACATATAAACAGATGCTATTTTTTCCCTCTAAAACGACTCATTATAAGTTCCATCCCCACTTCAAAGAGAATTTTTTAACATAGCTTCTGGTTATTTAACTATTCATTTCTTTTAACTTTAAATTAACTACTTTTATTAGATTCAAAAACCCTCTTAATCAAAATTAAATCATCCTTGAAACCTTGTCCCAAAAGATAAGTGCTGGCACAACACCGTGCTCACCCTTGATGGGTCGTATCTTCCGAGCGTTTCTAGCAGTTTCGGGATCTGTATTCTTGTCTCTTCTTCACAGAAGAAAATCCATGATGAATTTCTGCTATATGTTACAGAAAAGCTGACAAGAGAAAACAGATTACGGTAATCACTTCTACAAAATGAGTTTATAATAAGCTTTAAAACTGATATGCAGGAGATGGATGAAGGGCATCAGAACAGCAAGACTAAAAGAAGTTGATTTATTTCCCTTTGTTTTCCTTCAACACAGAGAGTTTTAGCTTATAGAAAAGCCGCATTGATTCTAATGGGTTTTTAAGTCAGACACAACTCCCAAGGTTAATTCTCTCTATACCACCAACTCAGAGAATGGAAAACGTTCTATTCTCAGTTGGAAGCATTTATTTTTTTAAAAAAGAAGCATATTAAGGAATCAAAACCATGCAAGAACCAATCATCAAGAAGTTGGTTTAACAATGTAACCCCTCCCAAAAAATATAACATTCCAATCCACATTCCATATAGAATCTATAGGAAACACACAGACTTCATAAGAAAACTGGGGTGGACAACAAGTGGTGGCAACGGACACATCTGGAGTTGAACGTACTGTGGTAACAGTGGCAGGATGGTCCAGGCGCCCTCCTGCTGAGGCAGTTGGTGCAGGAGGAGGACTCTGGGGAGTTCCTGCAAAATCAATAACCAAGAAATTCAATCAATGCAGGACCCATCACTCCAGGGGAAACAAGACTTGACCTGACTGGTTACTGTTCACAGCACGTTCCTTTTCTGAGGTCTCGTCCAGAGCTGCCACCACTGAAGGCACTTAGCTGACTCCATCCAACCTCATCACCTCCTGGACACCCAGCCATGCTCAGGACCCACAGCAAGCGAGGGGGCACAGCCACTTGGGGCTACCTGACAGGGAAGATCTAACAAGGTGACAAGGAGGGAAGCAGCTGGGACAGGGGGATGCTCAGGGGGAATCCTGACACCCTAAGACAGCTCTGCACTATTTTTTTTTAAGATTTATTTATTTTTACTGGAAAGGCATACCAGATTGGTAAGATTTACAGGGAAGAGAAACAGGGAGAAAGACCTTGCATCCACTGGTTTATTCCCAAAATGGTCACTATGGTTGGAGCTAAGCTGCTCCAAAGACAAGAGCTAGGGACCTCTTTCAGGTCTCCCACATGGGTGCATGGTCCCAAAGCTTTGTCCCCCAGAAGCAGGGAGCCAGATGACAAGTGGAGCAGCCGGGAACTGCCGGGACGTGAAGTAGCACCCTTATAGGATCCCAATGCTTGCAAGCCATTGAGCCATCACACCAGACCCCAATTCTTTTTTTTTTTAAAGATCTATTTGTTTTTTTGTTTTCTTTTATATATATATATATATATATATATTACATTGCATCATGCGACACAGTTTTACAGGCACTGGGATTCCCCCCTCCCCTCCCCAAAACCCGCTCCCTCCTCCCTAGTGGATTCTTCCATCTTGTTGCATTACCACAGGTCAAATTCAGTTGAGATTTTTTCCCTTGCAAGCATCTACAAAGCATAGAGTCTAGCATCTTATTGTGTAGATAAGTTCAACGGTTTCATGGGGAGACAGTCTCTGGTCTGAAGGTATCTATTTATTTTAATTGGAAAATCAGATATACAGAGAGGAGGAGAGACAGAGAGGAAGATCTTGCATCTACTGATTCACTCCCCAAGTGACCACAACAGCCGGAACTGAGCCAATCTGAAGCCAGGAGCCAGAAACCTCCTCCAGGTCTGCCATGCATCTATAGAGTCCCAAGGCTTTGGGCCGTCTCGATTGCTTTCCCAGGCCACAAGCAGAGAACTGGATGGGAAGTGGGGCCTCCAGGATTAGAACCAGCGCCCACATGGGATTCTGGCATGTGCAAGGCAAGGACCTTAGTCACTAGGCTACTGCGCTGAGCCCAGACCCCAAGTTTGTACTTGATACACAACACATGGGACACAGGATAAAGAAATCCCTTTGGCTAATCAGGAGGATTCTGTATGCAATTACTTCAAAAAACTCATGCAAAATAGAATTAAAAGACAAGTCTGTTGTGCAAAAAAAAAATCTGAAATTCACACATGAGATCTTCAAAACACCAAAGGAAATGTACATTATGAAAAAAGTGATGCATGGATTTCAAAAAAATTGTCACAAAATAAATTTATCTTTTAATTCTGGTTTTCCATAAACTTTACAGTATCCTCATATCCAATCTGTTTCATGTAAAAAAAAATCTTAAAGTAACCTAAAAAACTCCATGGTAATGAAAAGATAGATGAAATATCAGAAATGCAAAACTTGATTGTTCAGGCAGTAATAGGAAAAGCAAGTCAGAATTTATAACAGCATAAATACAGACAGAACCAGAATTCAAAAATAAGGCACAACTGTGGCTACATAAGTATACAACCATTCATACATAGATATGGAGATTAATATTTTCAAGGTTATGAATTTACGCTTTAAAGTAAAGCATTATTTGTTATACCTCAAGTTGTTATAAAAAGCCAAGCCAGAAATTTCCTATTTAGAATGCCTGGACTTTTTCTCCCAACAAACTTTATTATAACCTGTGTTTTACACTAGCTATAAAATTATATTGCTGGTAACAGTTACAGACAAGAATTTCAGAATAAATACTTCTGCACTGGTATTTTCCACACCAATACAGTTCATATATGTAAGCATCTATTAGAAGAAAATAGGTCTGGCACCACGCGCATGAGGCTACGTCTCTACCTGAGGCACCAGTCTCCCATACGAGTGCCAAACCAAACACCAGGCGGCTTGGAAAGGCAATGAAGGAAGACACAAGTCCTTGGGCCCCTGCACTCATGCAGCAGACCCAGCACAAGTCCCTGGCTCCTACTTCAGATAAACCCAATTCCAGCCAACATAGCATTTCGGGAAAGAACCAGCATGCAGATGGAAGATCTCTTTTCATCTCTTCCTTCTCTCCCCGTAACTCTGCCTTTCAAATAAAAATAAACCTTTACAAAATGGCTTTTAATGTAAGTCTCTGAACATCCAACAAAATTCACCTCTCTGCTTTACATAATTTGTCTTTAATTTCCATATGTAAATATGAAAGCAAAAACAGTAATCAGAGATTAAATGAGACAAACACTGTAACATGTGAAAAAGAAAGAGCAAACTGAAGCTGAACTCACAGTTACTACATTAAATACCACATAAAGAATACAAGGTCTTCCCATTGTTGCTTGTAAATCATGCAGTAATCTTCATTGTCTTTTAAAATTTGCTATACGTACACAGATTCATGAAGGATTCCATACAACATCAAAAAACACATTCAAAGAAATTAATGACATTACTATTTGCATAAAACACTGAAATAATTATAGGTGAAAGCAGCAGAAAATGACTGAGGTCCTTAGGCCCCTACACCCATGCTGGACACCCAGAAGAAACTCCTGGCTCCTGGCTTAAGTTTGGTTCACTTCTGGTCATTGTGGCCATTTGGGAAGTGAATCTGTGGATGAAAGATCTCTGTCACTCTCCCTCTTTGTCTGTCTCTAACTCTGCCTTTCAAATAAACAAAATGATTTTTAAAAAATAAATAAATAAAATAAATGAAATAACAAAATAAAATAAATGAAGAGCCAAGAGCAGTCCCCAAAGCTGTGTGAATACTTAAAAACACAGAGTTCTGTCTTGACACCCAGAAACTCAGTCTTAATTCCTGGTTAAGCCAAAGTTAACCTAATCATTACTTTTAATTTTAACCTAAATTTTAATTCCCGAAAAAAAGGCTCAGGAGCATGACTGGATATATATAACATAACTCAGGATTGTTTGTGGAAATGGAATTCAAGATGTATTTTGGTGCTTACTTCAGCAGCATATACACTAAAACTGAAATGATACAAAAATTAGCATAGCCCTGTGAAAGATTTTGATGCAAAAATACTTTGAATACCACACAGAAACTTCAAAGACCACTTGAAATAAAGGATTTATTTGTTTTTATTGTAAAGGCAGATATGCAGAGAAGGAGATAAAGCAAGAGGCTGCAACAGCTGAGCCAATGCAAAGCCAGAAGCCAGGAGCTTCCTCCAGGTCTCCCATGTGCAGGGTCCCAAGGCTCAGGGCCATCCTCAAATGCTTTCCCAGGACACAGGCAGGGAGCTAGTTGGGAAACGGAGTATCTGGGACAGAAATCAGAGCCCATATGGGGTCCTTGTGTATGAAAGGCAAGGACTTTAGCCTCTAAGCTCTAACTGGGCCCTGAAGATCACTTTTATAAACAAACTCAAACACACAAATATTCAAATGCCTAAATAGCTCTAAGGTAAATCATCAAAAAGTCACAATATCATTTTCTATAACATGATCTTAGCTCAGCTTATATTATTTAGAAACATAACAATGTGTTTTCTATTATCACCACAAAACTTAGCACAATGGGTACTTTGTTACTAGCACTTTCAAGGTGCAAAATCAGGTTAAAAATGATTGGAGTATAATTATTTAAAGATGTTTTTGCTTCATTAGTTATAAGGTACACAGAAAGAAAGAAAGATCTTCTAACCATTGGTTCACTCCCCAGATGGCTCAACATCCAAGAACCAGGAACTCCAACCTGGCCTACTAAGTGGATCGCAGGGGCCCAAGTGAATGGGTCACCAGATCACCCAGGCATATTAGCAAGGGGTCATAACAGAAGTAGAACAGCCAAGACAAACAATCATTCCCACATAGGATGCAGTCATCACAAACACCGCATCACCAGCCCCGTGGGTGCATCGTGAAGAAAAACATGTCAAATGGAAAATGTCAAGGAGAAAATTAGAAAATATTAAATTTCCAAAAGCTATTTGGAACAAAAGACAGAGTAAAGGCCTGCCCACAGACAGCCACTCCCTGTTGCCCATCTGACTGATGCCTAACCACCAGGCCACACACTACTATTTCAAACCAAAAAGGAACCCAAATTCTGTCCATAATGAGATGACACGAGTACAGGACCAAGTATGACAAAGCTAAAACTGCAAATGAACAGAAACAAATGAGTGACCAAAAAACGGAAAGACAGTGAAAGGTTAACCACAGTAACTTAAACTACTAGTTCAAGTCTGTGTCTTGAAGTTCAAGTCTACCTTTATTTCTATCACCAGCATCTACTGGTAAAATAACCACCAGGAAGGCTTGAGAAAGCCTGCAGGGCTTGCATTTTTTCCTCTCAATATATTTGTTAGCAAGAAAAATTCGTATTTCAAGTCGCTACAATCAGTGAAAACAAATCAATTTAAAACCAATGCTGTATTCATTTGTGGGCTCTCATACATATTCATCATTTTCATTGGGGAAAGGAGTTTGACTCCAATGTCACAGCTGAAGATTCCTGAAATATTCTGAGAATGAACAAAGCCCATTGTTGATATAATATAAAAAATATATCTCCAAAAACATTAATCCCATAAATGAAAAAGCTAACATTTGAATGTGAATTAAAACAGATGAATATTTCAAAAAAATCACAATTCCTTTGAAGATTTATCTATTTATTTGAAAGGCAGAGTTACAGAGAGAGAAGGACAAACAGAGAAAGAGGCCTGCAGTCTGCTGGATCACTGCTCAGATGGCCACAACACCCGGGACTGGGACAGGCTGCAGCCAAGATGCAGGAG